AATACAGATACAATACACCGCTATTCGTGCTCTGCAACATTTGTAGGATTGCCATCATCGACACCTTTACAGACGTCACATTTGCTTCCGTATTCGCGGTGGATGTTGACCTTCACATGCTCAGCAAATCCAATTCTGTCGCTGCTTGTAGTACTACTATTGCTGTTGGTGTGTTGATTCTGCTTACCGTTATTCAGCCGCTGTTTTTGCCAGTCTCGGTTTTCTTGATTCTTGTTTGAATATTAATTTTTATTGTAGTTTTTCTTGACATTATTATTTTTTTTCTTTTTTTTTATAATGGATAATGGATAATGGCATTAATTGCCTTATTATCGCTACCGATACTTTTAAGTTGTTTTTGTGCAAGCTCCTTTGATTTACACATATTGACACATGTATCTAAGGTCAAGGATTGTTCTCTTAACAGTCTTGCCTTTAGAATTCCACAAACAATCCGATCTCTTATTAAGCTGTCTCTTAAAGTGGCAAAACCGCACGTTGCACTGAGCTTTTTAAGCTCGCGTGAAGAATAAATTCTGTTAATTATCTCGTTGGTTTTGGTGTACAGTACTCTTCAAATACTTTCTGCAAGTACCTTTTTGTTTTCTGTAGACATGCCAAAAGTTTTAAATTTTTCAGTAGCATCTTCACCAATTACCGTGAAGAATACAGCCACTTGTCTTTCTTGTGGCTCTTTGTTGAATCCGGTGGCAACCAAACAGTATTCGAATCTTTCCTTCCATCTCGTCCACTTTTCTTTTATTTTCCCTACGAATGTTAATATACCCGGGGACTTAAAAGATGTCTCCATTTTGACTTTATTTTCTTGAGTATGTATAGCACTGCAAAATAGTTTTGCTTCACGTGAGATTGCTGTACTTTCTGTAACCGTTGCATTTGTCTCTACTTGTAGCCGCTTAACTTTTTCTTGGTGATTTTCACCGGTTGACATATGTGTATACTCACTTGCACTTTGACTTTTATTTCTCCAATTTTAATATTCTTTATTTTGTAATAGATAACCGACTACCGACTGCGCCATGTTGAGTTAGGTTCCGTATATTTATTAATACAGACAAGTCGGTTTATATTATTAATGTAATGTTTGTTTAACTCGATCCGCCTAACACAGCAACAAATGTATAAACTCAATTGGGTTTCTCTATAAAGAGTGTTTATATTATTTAATATTGATTCTTATCACAATAGTTTACTTAAATTATTTACCTATAAAGAGAAACGACATTTAAAGCTTATAATTTGTAATTTATTAATTTTCCTCAGCACAATGATTTGCCGCTTAACTTTTTGTATTTACTTCGTTTCTTTGTTTCTAATCGTTTCGCTTCACAAGTGTCATCTTAACTGTTATACTATGTACATAATGCCCCGAACACACTACACCATCTACTTGGTGTGTTCGACTAGAGTTATATCTTAGAACTAAATACTAACTAGAAATTCAGTAAAAGTAGTTTACATCTCCCCCCCTTGGGGAAGAGATTTGTAAAATCTCGTTTCATTAACTTCTATCTTCTTACTATCTAAAGATTTGTTTACGTGTATTCATGCTTTGGAATGGGAATAAGCATTGTGATATGAAAAAGGTTTGATTCTGGTTTTTTATGACCGGTATTTACTTTATATATTGAATTTGAAATTTTTTCTAAAATTTTGTAAGGTCCTATTTTTATTTCATCCAATTTTTTCCTATTTAAACGATTCCCATTTTGAACGTATACTTGATCTCCCACGTTGAATTCATGATAGTTTCGGGTTTTATCAAATTGTATTTTATTGTAGTTATGTGATTTTATGCTGTTTTCAAGTGCTAGCTTCCTATCTTGTGCAAGTTTTTTTAATGTTTTCGCAAGTTTTAATTCATTTGGTACTAAAGTAGTATCATTTCCTTCTAATAAGTATTTGGGACTGAATCCAGTTACAGTATGCTCGGTTTCATTATATCTTTTTACACTTTCATGTGCCGCTGTGGTCCATGCCACTCTATTTTTTCCATCATTTATTCTACATCTGATTTTATTTACCAACGTTTGGTTCAGTCTTTCATTTAAACCGTTTGAGAATGGTGCGCTTACCGCAGTGAAAATAATTGGTATGTTCGATTTTTCTAGACATTTTTTAAACTCTGTAGAATTGATGCCTGGGTATTGGTCCGTTAAAACCATACCTATTTCATGGTGGTCTAACACTTTCTTAACCAATTTTATAAAATCATTCGTGTTTTGTGTTTTGGACGTCAAAATATAAGCGTATCGCGTGAAGTGATCCACTAACAAGTGTAAATATTTTTTTGTTGATCGTGAACCCCCAAATCCACCTATTGTGCCTATGGAAACGATCTCGAACGGAGTAGTGGCAGGACCTAATTGAGACCACTGCCCGTACTTCTTTTGTCCTCTTGATTTGTTCTTTATGCATATTGCACAACTATCACAAATTTTCTTTATATTTTTTGTTAAATTTCTTGCTGTATAGAATGGTCTGATCTTATCCTGCGTTTGTTTTGTACTTATATGGCAATAATATTCATGCGTACTTTTTATTAACTTATGCTAAATGGTTCAGACAGTACAATTTTTTCTTGTTTTCCGACTTTTTGGTAATATATATTGTTTTTGAAGTTGATGTGGTTTTTATGTCGTAATTCAACATTTTTTTCTTGATCTTTTTGTATGTCATCTAGTGTAACTAAATTTACAACATTTAATTCTTCGTCATTATTTTCGTGTGACTCTAACACCGGATTTCTACTTAAGCAATCTGCTTCTAGGTTATATTTTCCTGGAGAATATCTGATCTCAAGATCATATTGTGACAGGTAGTATGTTAAATCTCCTAGCTCTGCATCTGTTCTAGCTCTTACATTCATTTTTTCTAAGGGTTTATGGTCCGTGAAAACTATGAACTTTCTCCCTATAAGCCGAAGTTGCCAGTATTTTACTGCCTCTTTTATTGCAAGGCATTCCAAGTAAATAGCTTTTTTTCTTTTTTGTACTTCATTAAGTTTCTTGGAAAAATAGGCCACCGGCTTTTCTTCATTATTTTCCTGGGGTTGTTTTAAAACGGCTCCGATTCCTAGCAGACTTTCGTCGGTATATATATGTATTGGTAACTTTGGATCAAAAATTGCTAGAACAGGCTGAGAACAAAGTAGTATTTTCATCTCTTCAAATGATTTTTGACATTTTTCCGACCACACAAAATTTTGATCTTTTCTGAGTAGGTTATGCAAAGGGTCCAGTGTTATGGAAATATTGAGTATGTATTTATTGTAAAAATTTATTTTCCCTAAAAACTGTCTTACATTTTTTCTTGTTTTTGGTGTTGGGAAATCTCTTATTGATATCAAATTATCTTTTAAAGGGTTAATTGAATTCCTTTTGATGATATGACCTAAATATTTAACTGAATCTGCTGCGAAAGTGCATTTCGATAGTTTTAATCTGAAGCCTTCTTTCGATATTGCTTCAAGCAATAATGATAAATGTGACATATGATCTGCGAAAGATTTTGAGAAAATCAAAATGTCGTCTATGTAATTAACCGCGAATTCACTAAGCTTATGTTTTCTTATTATGTTACTTAAAATTCTTTGGA